ACTAACTTTCATAGGCGCTACACTAGCGCTCCGTTAGTTCGAATTTAATTCGAACTAACGGAGCGCTAGTGTAGCGCCTATGAAAGTTAGTTCGAACTAACGTCCGTTAGTTCGAACTAACTTTCATAGGCGCTACACTAGCGCTCCGTTAGTTCGAATTTAATTCGAACTAACGGAGCGCTAGTGTAGCGCCTATGAAAGTTAGTTCGAACTAACGTCCGTTAGTTCGAACTAACTTTCATAGGCGCTACACTAGCGCTCCGTTAGTTCGAATTTAATTCGAACTAACGGAGCGCTAGTGTAGCGCCTATGAAAGTTAGTTCGAACTAACGTCCGTTAGTTCGAACTAACTTTCATAGGCGCTACACTAGCGCTCCGTTAGTTCGAATTTAATTCGAACTAACGGAGCGCTAGTGTAGCGCCTATGAAAGTTAGTTCGAACTAACGTCCGTTAGTTCGAACTAACTTTCATAGGCGCTACACTAGCGCTCCGTTAGTTCGAATTTAATTCGAACTAACGGAGCGCTAGTGTAGCGCCTATGAAAGTTAGTTCGAACTAACGTCCGTTAGTTCGAACTAACTTTCATAGGCGCTACACTAGCGCTCCGTTAGTTCGAATTTAATTCGAACTAACGGAGCGCTAGTGTAGCGCCTATGAAAGTTAGTTCGAACTAACGTCCGTTAGTTCGAACTAACTTTCATAGGCGCTACACTAGCGCTCCGTTAGTTCGAATTTAATTCGAACTAACGGAGCGCTAGTGTAGCGCCTATGAAAGTTAGTTCGAACTAACGTCCGTTAGTTCGAACTAACTTTCATAGGCGCTACACTAGCGCTCCGTTAGTTCGAATTTAATTCGAACTAACGGAGCGCTAGTGTAGCGCCTATGAAAGTTAGTTCGAACTAACGTCCGTTAGTTCGAACTAACTTTCATAGGCGCTACACTAGCGCTCCGTTAGTTCGAATTTAATTCGAACTAACGGAGCGCTAGTGTAGCGCCTATGAAAGTTAGTTCGAACTAACGTCCGTTAGTTCGAACTAACTTTCATAGGCGCTACACTAGCGCTCCGTTAGTTCGAATTTAATTCGAACTAACGGAGCGCTAGTGTAGCGCCTATGAAAGTTAGTTCGAACTAACGTCCGTTAGTTCGAACTAACTTTGTAGTGTAGACATTCCCTCGGAGAGTGAGGAAGTGTGGGTCACTCACTCCTCTGCTCTCTTCCTGCACTAACCAGGAGGGAGAGGAAAGCAGGGACAGTGTGTGCTTTCCTCACTCCCTGACAGTGCTGGAAGGGGAACAGCAAACAACAAGCAGCATTGGTGGCAGGAGGGAGGCGGGGGTGGGGAAGGGGCCTTTGTCCTCCCTGCTCTCCATAAAAGGTGGTCAGGGTGTATGTGAGGAGGAGAGTGAACCCAGGTCTGTGATTCTCCTGGACCAGTGTGAGGCATGTCCTCATCCAACTCCTTTTCACTTGCCCACTGCTTAGGGTGGCAGCCTGCTGGAGAGTCCTGGGAGGCTGGCTTGGAGGGCACTCCACCGCCTCCTGCAGTGGATCACCCTAGCTGGCTCTTATCAGGGTAGTGCACCAGAGTGCATCACCTTACCGGTACTTTCACCTTTGACTGTAGTGCAATCTTTTTATCAGAATAGTTGAACTTACGAATGTAGGATTATGTACAAAAATAATTGCATTAAAAAATAAAGCAATGTAAAACTTTAGGGTATACAAGTCCACTGTGTCCCACTTGTTCAGCCAATCATTCAGACAAAAGTTTGGTTACACTTTGTAGGAGATAATGCTGCTTACTTTTTGTTTACAGGGTCACATGAAAGTGAGAAAAGGCATTTACATGGCATAGTTGTAGCTGTTGTTGCAAGATATTTACATGCCAAACATGCTAAATATTCATACGTCTTTTCATGTTTCAACCACCATTCCAGAAGACGTGTCCACACTGATGATACTTGTTAAAAAAATAATGTTAATTAAATTTGTGACTGAACTCCTTGGGGGAGAACTGCATGTCTCCAGTTCTTTTTTACCTGCATTCTGCTATATATTTCATGTTATAGCAGTCTCAGATGATAATCCAGCACATGTCATTTTAAGAATGCTTTCACTGCAGATTTGACAAAATGCAAAGAAGATAACAATATGAGAGTTCTACAAAAGCTGCAGCACTCAATCCAAGGTTTAAGACCTGAAGTCCAAAATTTCAGAGGGACAAGGTGTGGCACATGCTTTCAGAAGTCTTAAAAGAGCAAGACTCTGCTGCAGAAATTACAGAACCTGAACCACCAAAAAGGAAAATCAATCTTCTGCTGGTGGCATCTGACTCAAATAATGAAAATGAACATATGTTGGTTTGCTCTGCTTTGGCTAGTTATTGAGCAGAACTACCATCAGTATTGATGCATATCTAACCAGGATCAGGGCTGCTGTCTTTGCAAGCATAAATCCACTTTTATCAGATGTAGGATATGTCCTAACTCTAAAAAGTCTATTCCCTGTCATCATGTTGATAAATATACCTATCTCTAGTTGTTTATTCCTAGTCTCAACTGCAGTCTAGGGGACAGATCTCCTGTTCCCATTGAAGGCAATAGGAATTTTGTTACTGATATGGAGGAGTATCTGTCCCTTATGTTTTTACATTAACTGTTCAATAAATCTGACAGTTTTTATTACTTGTAGCATCATGGCTTTAGCATGCAAAATACTGTCACTGTTTCTTGTTTATCTTTATGGTCCTACTGAATGAATTAGCTTTCAAATCCTATTAAACCAATATATATTTGAATAACTCATCATAAAATATTTGTAAACCAGAATGTAGGACTTTGGCTGTCAATGTTTTACACAGTGACATTCTTGCATAGCTTTTGTACTAGTAAAAAATTCTAATGTATCTCAGTTTGTTTTCTTTGGTACTTAATATGCTAAGTATGGAGCTATTTGGATTTGAATACATATGAACCTATAGTACATAGATGAATTTGTAGGTACAGCACATGGAATCCAATACTGACGATAATTTATGAAGGTAAGAATACTGATTCCTATAATACTGCTAACTTAGTTTATGATAACGTAATTAGTTACACTAATAACACTGTTTAGGCACAGTCTTGCTAATTATGATTTTATAAATATTAATGATATCTAGCCTTTGTGTCTGATTCCCTCTAGTAGAGTCATTCATCATAGTATTTCCCTTATACCCACACTGCATTATTTTTCTTCCTTTTCCTCTTATTTGTTCAGTACTGGACATGCAGTCACTCTGAACTTGGGACTGAAATATACAATTACATCTTCAATAGTTCAGCTTGGATAAACTTTATATTTTATCATCTGGTAGCAATGATCCAATGATATAATTTTGTATTAAAGGCAATCAAATACAAAGTCAGTTATAATCTGTATCTCTTGTTCCTTTTAAATGTCTAACATAGCCAGCCAAACTAGATTACATGGGACTTAGTTTTTATTCTTTTTTATGTGACCTGTTTCAAGTTAAGATTCCTTTGAATTATTAAATGCTTCCTTAAAGCATCTTTTCATACTACCTTTTTAAAGTTAATTATTGATGTAGTGACAAGCTGAAAAGACTAAAAATTGTAATTTTCCCCCCTTTTCATTCAGAAGGACATGAGAAATGTCTTGACAATGGTTGTCTATTTAGTATAATAAAAAGGTAATACTAAGATAGAATACTGAATGTTGTTTTAGGGGAAGATTGTTAACATTACTGTATTATACAAAATGTAAATGCAATGTGTATTTCTCTGACAATATCTGTTAAAGAGAAAGTTGGGACATAACCTTTTGAGCTCGGCTTTAACCACAAACTTACGCAGCTGAAAAGAAAGAGATTAGATTTTTTAAACACTAATATTCTTAGCTTTAGGAATAGGATTGTCTTTTCCATAGAAGATAACATTATAATTTTCAGACCTCCACAGAAAAAAAATCACTAACCTGCCACTGAAAAGATCTCCATTCATCAGCAGAGATAAGCAGAGATTTGGAAGCATTTGACACTGCAAATCCTATTCTTTTGTAATTCTTTACTTTTACAACATTTTCAACAAGGTAATATTAGACTTTGAGAAGGAGAATCAATAAGCATGATGCATAACTGAAACCACTCTTCAGACTGATCTCCTTTAATAACTTGAAACAAAGACTTAGACTCACTGCTATGCTGAGATTTCAGGAGCCAAAAAGAACGATCTAATGATTAGGCTGCTAGTCTAGAAGTTTGGAGCCTGAATTCAAGCTCAGATGCTATACTGTTGGGTACAGCCCTGAGCGAATACTAAATTTTTTATCTACATCTGCATCTAGATCTGCAAAATCGAACTGTGGATACCCATGGATATAAACAGATACCTGCAAATTTGCAGGGTTCTGGATATAAAATTTGCATCAGCATCCATATCTTCAAATATTCACAGCTAATTTTTGCACAGATGGAGATATCTGTGGATATAAAGCAGATATGTGCAGATTTGCAGGGCTCTACCAATGAGTTTGATGGAACACAGCAGGAAAGATGGATCTATGTCAAACAAGATCTCCCTCATACTGGCTTTTGGGGCCATTGATGCCAGAGTGTTGCAAAAGAGTTGGAACATACTACAGATTGTGATCCAAAATCTCATTCTAATCTAAATTTTCTAATTTTTTTTAGAGATTTTCTAATATTTTTTGCTTTTGCATTTTATATTTTTTTTAAAAAAAGTCATGCTACTGTCAATGAAGTAGTAACATCATGTCAATGGTAATATGACAGCATGATGTCAAGTCAGTAATAATATGACATCACAAGTTGCCTGGTGACAATTCAGAAGGGGACAAAAGACCTCTACCAACTCATCTTGATGTCAATGTTGATAAAATATGGCCATTGAAATAAAGTATACCCATCATGTGAAACTATGCTTGAAGACAAAAACTGCTATAATTAAACAGGAATCTCAGTGTAATGGCATACCTTTCCAATCAGATCAGCAATTTTGGGTACTGGCTTTCCTTTCTGATGGCACATGGTTGCAGGGCTCTGTCCATCCCAGTCTTGAAGTTCCTCAATGCTTTTCAGATAAAGTAGGGCTCTCAGACCAGTGCAGTAGTCCTCAATCACTGTGAAATCTTGATTCTGTATGGCACTACACACCTACAAAACACACCCAATAATTAACAACAAATTTCCAAATGGAACTCTGGAATTCAAGCTGATAACAAGTACCTTGTCCCAGAGTCACCACCAATCTAGATTCTGGAACATGAACTCTCACCCCAGACACAGGAAGGCCCACCCAAGAAAATGGGAGAAGGCCTCCCCAAACAGAACTTGCTATTCAAGAAAAGAACCCTCTGTAGTGCAGGAAAACATACACTCATTCTCTTTGTATTAGTATTATAATTTGTATTGTGGTGGCACCTATCGGTCACGTGTCCTTTGTGCTTGGCACTCTACAGACATATAACAGAGATATGGTCCCTGCTCTAAAGAGCTTACCGACAACAGGTAGAAATACACCTTAAAATTTTTCCATCTCTGCTAAATCCAACTCCTGTCTATCAGACTAACTTAAAACCCAACCCCTCTCCCACAGCCCCCATTGAAATGGAATGATAACACTTGACCAAAAAAACCTCATGATGATCTATTGGTCTTTCTCCAAGGACCCAAGCTCTAGCTCACTCATCAGAATAGATGGTCTGATAGGCATCAACCATCAAAGTCCTAGTGCAGTGGTCAGCAACTTTTGGTACATTAGGGTAATCCACTGGCTGACAACAAGACATTAGTTTATGTTGATTCTCCAAAGGCATGGCCCTTTGCAGATCCCAGTGGCTGAAGTTTGCTGTTCCATTGACAATGGGAGTTGCAGGAAGTAGCAGACAGCATGTCCCTGCAATTCACGACTTTCTGCAGCTCCCATTGGCTTGGCACAGCAAGCTGTGGCCACTGGGAGCTGCAGGAAGGTCAATATATACAAAATATCTCACAGCTTACCAGCAGATTACCCGGATGGGCTGTATGCTGAAAGTTCCTCACTCCTGACCTAGTGGATATAGCATAAGCAACTAAAAGCCCAAATTCAAAGACGTCAAATATGGCAATAAGTATCATCTGATACTAACTTCAGGTATGTCAACCAGAGCACTAGGGACACCACCAACATGAACCAAGTGTAGTGTACACACACACACACACACACACACACACACAAATACAAATTCAACTAGCTGAAGGAGAGGTGGGGAAAAGCTCTCCAGCCACAGGAATGATTCCCGCCTAACGTGCTGGCCCCTCATACTGCCAAGCACAGGTGTCCAAAACATGAATCAGGATCCCAGCATAAAACCATGAGATTTTCTTAAAAGGATTTTTTTAATTTGCCTTCTGGTTTTGAGCCTTTATGAGTCATATGCAAAAGTCTTCTCTGTGACCATGACGTACTTGAAAGGGGAAAAAAAAGATCCTCACATAATCACCAAGTTTAAGGAACTGGAACTTGAAAAACAAGCAAGCAAAAAATCTCTCAAACACTGTGAAACTGGCAATCCAACTGAAAAGATTTGCAATATGGGGGTGGGGAAGGGTTTGAGGATGTCTACACTGCAAAAAATAAAAAATGTGGCAATAAGTCTCAGGACCCAGGTCTATAGTCTCAGGCTTGTCCTAGTGCTCTATGAATAGCCATATAGACATCCAAGATTGGGCTAGAGCTCAAGCTGAAGTCCACAAAGAGGACAGGCTTCAGGCCCCAGCATCAGCCTGAGCTGGACAATCCATATGATTATTTTTAGCATTATAGTATGAGCCCATGTCTCCTGCACTGTGGTGTGAGGTTTTGGGGGTAGTTTTTTCCCTTTTTTTAAATTATAGACATACTTAAGTCTCTGTCTCCAAAGATCTGCTGCCACTTGGCATGAGTACTCTATATTTTTAGGTCTTACAGTCTGGTCCTCTTCCAATTCAGGAGAACATGAGAAGAGAGGGGTTAGCTGAAGTATCCAATGAAGGGAAAGAAGCACCATGAAGGAGAAAGAAGCCCAATCAATACTGTACCCTTTTAAAGGGGAATCACCAATTTTCCTGCTGTACAAGACATTAGGTAATTCTGTGGAAAGAATATTAGGTATAATGCTAAATTAGTGCTTTCAATGACTGATATAAACCTTTATTTATTTGTGGATATCAAAAAAAGCAGTATTACTCCTGCATAAGACATGTATGTAACAAATAAAATAATGAAATGGTCACCTACATCAAGGCAATACAAACACACACACATGTACCTGTAAAACTAAATCATAAGATTCACTAGATTCTTGATTTCACCACTTAGAGACAAAAGGACCTAGGTAACATATTAGTGTTTTACGCATGATTTCACAAACTAATATAAGCTGCAGTTCAGAAGAAGGAAGGCACATTTAAAAATATCATACACTGCAGCTTTGCAAGAAAAAAAAGAAATAACTATAAAATATTCACAAGAACATTTCCTATGCAGCCCATTTACATTACACAAAATCAGCTTCTCTGGAGAAACAGGGTGAGCATTAATTAGGTCTGTTATGCCTTCCATAGACTAAGAGGGGTTTTTTTCAGAGCAATTATAGAGAACATCATAATAATTTCCTCCACAGGTTATTTAACTGAGAATTCAAATGATGCTTTATTTAAACCCCTTTATTCACTAAAGGTTTTTTTAGCATATGGGTAACACTTTTATTAGTTATTCTTAAAAAAAATGTAAGAAAATACAGTTAAAAGCCATGCTACATCATGGCACTTAAAACAAGTTCAGATTCTGTTGTCAAATTCCTGAAATATTTTGACAGGATGAATACACATGAAATACCCTGGAGGATACATGTTATAACCTTATAAAAAGAGAGGCTTTTATTTTTGCCATATTATGGTGCAATATTATGAAGTCAAAGAACCTACGAAAGTGCAGAAGATGATACCAACCCCTCCCCTCAATGGTTGTTGTGATCATTTGGCCTGTAAATTTACTCTAATTGTGAGCTTAACTGAAAAAATGTGAAAGTTCATAAGATGCTTCAATAACTTATAATGAAAATGTTGATGAGAAAAGCTGAATTATTCTAAGCATAGAGCCTACAGATACAACTCCAGAACTGTGTTGAAATCATGCCCGGCAAACAACAGAATATGGTCCATTAACTAATTAATTAAAATGGAGGTGCTGAAAACTACACCTCACTGGTGGATAACTAATGAGGGTAGGGGGCTATTCCACTCCTCATTCCCTTTGTGGATTCTTAGGGTGTGTCTAGACTACATGCCTCCTTCGACGGAGGCATGTAGATTAGCCAGATCGGAAGGGGGAAATGAAGCCGCGATTAAAATAATCGCGGCTTCATTTAAATTTAAATGGCTGCCCCGATCTGCCGATCAGCTGTTTGTCGGCAGATCGGGGAGGGTAGGGGGCTATTCCACTCCTCATTCCCTTTGTGGATTCTTAGGGTGTGTCTAGACTACATGCCTCCTTCGACGGAGGCATGTAGATTAGCCAGATCGGAAGGGGGAAATGAAGCCGCGATTAAAATAATCGCGGCTTCATTTAAATTTAAATGGCTGCCCCGATCTGCCGATCAGCTGTTTGTCGGCAGATCGGGGGAGTCTGGACGCGATGCCCCGACAAAGAAGCCTTTCTTCATCGACACAGGTAAGCCTCGTGAAACCAGGTTTACCTGTGTCGATGAAGAAAGGCTTCTTTGTCGGGGCATC